CGGCCTTGTTTTCTTTGAGATAGTGTCTCCCTCTGTCACCCAGGCTGGAGTGAAGCAGTGCATTCACAGCTCACTGCAACCTCAACCTCCTGAGCTCAAGCGATTCTCCCACCTCAGCCTCCCAAGTAGCTGAGACTACAGGCACACGCCACCATGCCCAGCTAATATTTGTAGTTTTTTGTGGAAACAGGGTTTTGTCATGTTGCCCAGGTGGGTTTTGTCTTTTTTATATAGCTGCCCGCATGCAGGTGTTTCTGGCTCTACAACTCACTAGCAACTTAATTTCCCTAATCCTCAAGTTTTCTTATAACTAAAACTGCGATAGTAGGATAGTACTTCCCTTTCTGGGTGGAGAATTTAATGAAATAAATGAAGTAATGGGGTAATGAAGTGAAGCAGTTAGAAGTCTAATTGGCAAGTAGTAAGTACTCAGTAAATGTTTCCTCAGTAAATGATGATGATGGTACAAAGCTCTCAGCACAGAGCCTGAAACAAGCGCTCAATACACTTTCACTCTTAGGCTGCAGTCACGTGCACACTGATGACAGCCATTATATACCCCAGCACATCCCCCCGGAGCTCAGATCCATGTATCCTGCTGTCTCCGGATCCCTGATCCCTCCCCCTAGTTGACCTACAGATACTTAAAACCAACAAAGAACTACTCTTGTCCCACAAATAAGCTGTACCTCCTAGGTTTCCTATCTTAGTGAGTGGAAGAGCCATCACCTAATCACCTAAGCTGAGTGCAGTCCATTACCTCACCCTGTACAGAGCTCCACAAAGCAAGTATTTTACAAATGCATGGATTTGTTTACATGTCCATCTGTCCCCATTAGATGAAAGTCTCTGGAGAATATCATTTTGGTCTTATTGGTAATACCATTTAGGAATGTGTTCCATTGCCAAAAATAGAAAACTCTAGCAAAAGTGGCTTAAATACAAGTTTATTTTCTCATGTGAGAAGAGGTCTCAAAGTGGTGAGCCTTAGCTCAGTGCTCAACGAAGTCATCAAAGCTACAGGCACGTTCTTTCTCTAGCATCCTTGGTAACGACGTGGCTTTGGCCGCCCTCTTGTGCAACTCGTGATTGTAAAGTGACTGCTGCAACTCCAGAAGGAGGACAGGGACAGTGTCCTGTTTCTTCTATCACACAAACAAAAAGACTACCAGAATCTGCCCACCTGCCAGTAATGAGTGAAACAGACCCATCCCTGCCCTCATGTTGTTTATAATCTAGTGGGAGAGAGAGACATGAAGCAAGTGCTTGCACAAAGAAAATTACGGGCTGGGTTTGGTTCATGCCAGTAATCCCAGCTACTCCTGAGACTGAGGTGTTCGAGGCTGCAGTGAGCTGTTATGGAACCACAGTACTCCAGCCTAGGTGACAGAGTGAGACTCTTATCTCAAAAAAAAGAAAAGAAAAGAAAAAATACCAATAAGTTGTGCTCGCTATGAAGGAAAAAAACGGGAGAACACCTGTAGGATGACTTGCCACCAATGGCAGCAGGATTTGGAAATAAAACTGTCATGGCATAAAGTGTATCCTATGTTCCCAGCCCGGGGGTTCCTTTCCTAGAGCTTCACTGTAGCCAGCACTCAGCACATGGAAGGCACGACCTAAGTAATCATAATGGCAATACTATTCACTTTTAAAAGTTAATTACAAAAAGAAAACAAAGTTAACTATGGCTGGACATGGTGAATCACGCCTGTAATCCCAGCACTTTGGGAGGCTGAGGCGGGTGATCACCTGAGGTCAGGAGTTAGAGACCATCCTGGCCAATATGGTGAAACTCCGCCTCTGCTAAAAACACAACAATTAACTGGGTGTGGTGGCAGGTGCCTGTAATCCCAGCTACTCCGTGGCTGAGACAGGAGAATCGCTTAAACCCAGGAGGCAGAGATTGCGGGGAGCCGAGATGACACCATTGCACTCGAGCCTGGGTGACAAAGTG